ACCTCAACATAATTAAAGCCATATACAACAAACCCACAGCCAATATCATTCTAAATGGAGAAAAACTGGAAGCATTCCCATTAGAATCAGGAACCAGACAAGGATGTCCACTATCTCCACTCCTTTTCAACATAGTGCTTGAAACTCTTGCTAGAGCAATAAGACAGGAGAAGGAAATTAAAGGAGTACTAATTGGAAAAGAAGAGGTCAAACTATCACTTTTTGCAGATATGATACTATACCTAAGAGATCCCAAAAGTTCCACCAGAAAACTCCTAGAACTGATCAACACTTTCAGTATAGTGGCAGGTTATAAAATCAATCTACAAAAATCAGTAGCCTTTCTATATACCAATAACAAGCAATTGGAGAAAGAATACAGAGAAATGCTCCCATTCACAACTGCTGCAAAAAAAAAATTAAAATATCTCAGAATAAATCTGATGAAAGACACAAAAGATCTCTTCAATGAAAATTTTAAATCGTTAAAGAAAGAGATTGAGGAAGACACCAGGAGATGGAATGACCTCCCATGTTCATGGATTGGAAGAATTAATATTGTTAAAATGACCATGTTAACAAAAGCAATATATAGATTCAGTGCAATCCCAATCAAAATCCCCATGACTTACTTCACAGAATTAGAAAAATGCATCCTTAAATTCATATGGAGGCACAAAAGACCCCGGATAGCTAAAGCAACCCTGAACACAAAGAACAATGCTGGGGGGGCGGTTACTATACTAGATCTCAAAGTATACTACAGACCCATAGTCATAAAAACAGCATGGTACTGGTGCAAAACACAGACACACAGATCAACAGAACATCACTGAAGATCCAAACCTGAGTACACGCAATTTCAGCTATCTGATATTTGACAAAGGTGCCAAGAACACACAATGGAGGAACGACAGCATCTTCAACAAATGGTGAGGGCAAAACTGGATCTCCACCTGTAGAAGAATGAAACTAGAGCCTTACCTTTTGGCTTGCATAAAAGTCAACTCCAAATGGATCAAAGACCTCAATGTGAAACTGGAAACCCTGAAACTATTAGAAGAATATATTGGCAGTAACTTACAGGATATAGGTGTAGGAAAGGATTTTCTAAATCAGAAGTTGCTCAGGAATTAAGGTCAGCAATGAGTAAGTGGGACCTCATTAAACTAAAAAGCTTCTGTATAGCAAAAGAAAAATCAAAATAGTGAAGAGAAAACCCACAGGATGGGAAAAAAATCTTCACCAGTGATATATCTGACAGAAGTTTAACATCCCGAATATACAAAGAACTCAAAAAACAAGTGAGAAACCAAATGACCAAATTAAAAGATGGGCTAAAGATCTAAACAGAGAGTTCTCAAAGGAAGAAATGAAGATGGCTAAGAAACATCTCAAAAAGTGTTCAACATCATTAATAATTAGGGAAATGCAAATTAAAACCACCCTAAGGTATCATCTTACCCCAGTCAGACTGGTTAGGATCAAGAGAACAAATGATATCAAATGCTGGCGAGGATGTGGAGAAAGGGGAATGCTCATTCATTGCTGGTGGGATTGTAAACTCATGCAGCCTCTATGGAAAACAGTGTGGAGAACACTTTAAAAACTAAAAATGAGCTGGGCATAGTGGCACATGCCTGTAGTCCCAGCACTTTTGGAGGCAGAGGCAGGTGGATCTCTGTGAGTTCAAGACCAGCCTGGTCTACACAGTGAGTTCCAGGCCAGCTGGGGCTACAGGAAGGCCCTGTTTCAAAAAGACCAAAAAAAAAAAAAAAAAAACAAAAAAAAAAAAAAAAAAAAAAAAAAAAAAAAAAAAAAAAAAAAAAAAAAAAAAAAAAAAATACCATGAAAAACCAATGTAAAAAAGCATCCTACTGTAGAAACACTTGTACAACCATATTTGTGCTACTCTTCACAATAGCTAAGAGATGGAAGTAACCTAAGTGTCCCTCAACTGATGAGTGGTTAACAAAAATGTGGTATATTTACGCAATGGAGTTCTATTCAGCAGTAAAGAAAGATGAAATAATGAAATTTGCAGGTAAATGGATCTAGAAACTGTTATACTAAGTGAACAACAAATAAACGAGAGAAAAACAAACGACATGTGTTCTTCCTCATATGTGGCCCCTAGCACCAAATCCTTTTAAATTCCAGGTCCTTTTAATAGATGATGATATACAGCAGTCCCTTCTGCATGAAATAACTACCATCATCACAACTTCGGCTGAGCCTGATTGCTAAACATAGTCAC